TGTGTTTGTTTTAGCTGTGAGAAAAAAACATCTGTCACTTTTTTTAATATATTTTTAATTTCGATAAAATATATTACTTTTGATTTAAATATTCTTCTCCTGAATTATAATTTACTATTATCTTATTGTTTTTTCTACCTAATGAATCTTATTTTATCGTTATAAAATATGTTTCTAAAATTTCATTTCTTCCATTTCAATAATTAAAGTTATTATTTATAGTCTCTTGTAGCATTAAAAAAAAACAAATAAACAAGTTCACATTTTTAAAGTTTAAACTTTGTAGAAAATATGACATACGTATGAAACTATTATATGTATATTAGATAATAATCTGATTTTTCATTAAATATAAACATAATTAATAAAATCACATAATAATTGGGACTAAAATGGATATTTTCATCTCATTCAAGAATAACATTTAAAAAAATTATGTGAACCAAAATTAAAGTATACTTATTTTAATTATTAAAATTAGTATATTTAAATATACTTTTATTAATATGTAAATAGGAGTTTAATATCATTATTGAACATATAAATTAACTTATATAAAATAATTTCAAATTAAATAGTAATTTTGAGTTCAAATTTAAATATATATTTGCATTGAATATTTGAAGAATTTTTTGTTTCCTATAAATTATTCAACTTGATTCAACAAAAATCTCTTCCACCAACAATATATTTATTTAATGATGAATAAAAAATATATGGGAAGTATTACTTATTTCTTGAAATACGTATACAAATTTTAAATTATATATAAAATTTTAAAATTGAACAAGTTAAATATTAAACATATACTTTTTATAGAATTCTGTTGATGATATAATCAACTTATTAAGTAAATACAACTTCTTTTCAAAAGTAGTAATTGCGCAAAGATTATTTATTGTTCAATACTTTAGAAGTCTTTGTCAATATATATTTCCCAGCAAAGATGGTTCAAAGTTGGACCGGTTCAAGGAGAAAAATAAATTACAAACAAAAGTAAAGAATATTTTTGCATTTAGAAAAATATTTTTCACTATAATATTTTATTACTTTTTCCAAAATACATGTAAATGATTTTTTAATTTGTACATCACAAAAATATATAATTATAATAAAAATTGAAACTTATGTGGTTTTTATAACTTTATTAATACAAGATTACTTTTGATTTAATGCAATAAATATATCAAAATTTTAACTAGATATATGGGATGCATCAATATTTTATTCATTTTGTCAGAATCCACAAAGACGGAGTTTTCACTTACTAATTCGTCTCTAGTTAAAGTTAGGGATGATAACCCTTTTTTCTCCACCAAAAATTAGGGATGAGACCCTATTTTTGTCCGCCATACGGACAGATTCGTCTACTATAATTTAATTTTTTTAAATTAAATTTTTTAATAAATTTAATAATAAAATTATTATTTAATTGTTAATATATATATATATATATATATATATTAAATTAATAATATAAATCAACTTAATAAATTATAATTAAAAATAATAATAAAATTTATATAATAATAAATATATAATAATGTGAAAACTTAAAAAATTTATATTTTTTATATTGAAAATTTTAAATATTATATTTTTTATTTGATAAAATTTCACATTATTTTCTATTTGAGTAATTTTTACATCTTTAATTTAATTCAAGTAATAAAGATAAAATAATTAGTGCTTAAGATTAATAAAGAGGAGATGATCTTTAATTTAATTCAAAGTAATAAAGATAAAATAATTAGTGCTTAAGATTAATAAAGAGGAGATGATAAGTAAAGAAAAAAAAGAAGTTTGTGTTTAAGGAAGAGAAATATTTCATATAATAAATGAGAGATTATCAATATAATTAAGGTAATAATTACCAAATTAAATTAATAACACAAACCTCCATCCTTCCCATTATCATTATTATTTATGTTATCATTATCTAATCTTATCAAGATATGCATTAAAATGTTAATAAAACTAATATTTATTTTACTTTTTTTATAATTTATATGATATTTCATCTTTTGATGTTTGACCATCAAATAAGTTTTTAATATATACATATATTGATTAAAATTAATAGTGGTCAAATGAGTCTTTAGTATATAAGTATTAACCTTAGACTGATTAAATTATTTAATGGCGGTCAAATAAGTCTTAAATATATACATATCAACATTTCATTGATTTTATTAATTAATACATTATATTAAATGAATATAACTTTAATAATATAATTAAAGTTAATATTATATTATATTTAATAAATATAAAAAACAATACCGTTCATTAAAATATCAGTTTATTTATATGTTTATATAGAAAATATAATAATATTAATTAATACCTTCTTAATTTTATTTGGAATACATTTATGAATATAATAATTAAAGATGAATATTTTGTTTCAAATATATATAAATTTTCACTATGATTTATTACAAATAATAACTAAAATTACAAACTCAGAATGTAATATATTTGTATATGTGGAGGGGGAAAATTAAGAATGTGATGAAAGGTGTAATAAAATTATAAATAAAATGTTGTACAGTTAGTTAAGTCTGTGAGAAGAAAAGAGTGTATATTTTAAGGTTTAGGGTAACAAATTAAAATACTAAGATTTGTTATGAAAGGAGAGTGTATGAGTATCATTAATTCTATTGGCTTAGTAATGGTTTTGATTTGATTGCCCACTCTATTATCGTGGGCCCAAACAGAAGGGGACGGAAAAGAAAGAACTAGAAATTGAAGAAATGGGACACGGAGTTAATATTATTATTAATTATTATTATTATTGATGATGGAAAGAAGAAAATGTGCGATAACGATGAACACAAGCAAATGAATGAGAAATTGAATGGAAAGTGGTAGGTGGGATTCGATGGAAGAAAAAGTCACCTTACCCACTTCGTTAAGCTTCTCACTCATTCCCATTCTTCTTAGTCTCTTCTCTTTTCTTGGAAAAAGTAAAATAAAAGGATCTATCACACGTCCACACATAATAAAAATTAATGTACATTGCACGCTCTTCTTTTCCAACAAAGAGAAAACTTTCCAAATTATGGGAAAGAAAGGTACTCGAAGTTTCCTTAGACAGACACAAACTCACACTTAAGAAAAACATCATCACAAATACTTGCAAAACCTTGTGTACTTCTTCGTTTCTCTAACCACGTTCACCCTTATAATTATCGTCTATTAATAGCTATATATATTAGTTGAGCTATTCATTTTTAACTTTTTTCCTATAACATTTCAACTATGACTTTTGCAACATTTATACATACTATCTCTATCTTTACCTATTTTTCAAAATATCAATGCTTTTTTAATCTATAAATGTACAATTAGTCATAATAGGTTTTGAAAAACTAGAGATGAAGTTGCAAATTCCCTTTAGAATCTATTAGTATTGACTCACTATCAATTGTAACGTTGTTAAAATTTTATACTTGTACGTGTTACAATAATAAATGTTTGAATAATAAGTTATTAATTATATAGTAAAAACTAAAACATGTATACTATCAAGGAATATGGATAAGGAATGGTTGACAAATAGTGAAGTTAGTTTTTTTTTAATCTATAAAAGAGCAATTAGTAATTAATATTACTTTTTCAACAGAGGAACATGTATTAATTATGAGTATTGACCATACTATGTATTTTTGTTGTTATTAATATTAATAAAAAGATTATTAATAATAATAAATATCATTGAGACGGTTATAGTTTTAAACTTTATAATTAATAACATGTTTGAACATGAAATTTTGAAATTCATTTAAAATATACAAATTTATAAAGCGAATAACACTACAAAACAGTCTAAATTAAAAGTAAAAATAATCTCAAAAACTGTAAGAAAAACGTTTAAACGTTATAAAGTGATGCATGTTTCTTTTCAAAACATATATATTTTTAAAATCTTATATATATATAAATTACTCGTAACCTAAAAGAGTTTGCACCCAATAAAAAATATTATTTTATTTTTTTTAAATACGTACGTCAAAAGGCTAGATTGGAAAGATGTGGAAGAAGAAGTATTGTTTAAAAGCGACTTCCATTATTACAAGCGACTTCATTATTATACGAGAAAATAGGCTACATATATGGTAAAACATATATATTATTTATCACAAACACATAAATTAAAATTAATTTTCATATAAATTAATTTCAATTTTTTTTTAAATTTTGAGAATTATGTGTAAGTAGTCAAAATCTATTTGTTTTTAATTATGTGTGAGTAGTCAAAACGTAGGTATTCTCTATACGAATTTTGCATCGATAATTAAGGAGTATTAAATTGTTATTGTATTTAAAAAGGGGAATTATTATGATTAAAATGATGTATAAAAAATATAAAATTGAAAGAAAATGTGGATTAGGTGTGGTCAAACAGGGTGGGGCCAAAAATCCTTGAAAGTGGGTTCGTTTTATTTCGTCTGGTCTCGTCGCTGTGATTAATTCTAGACTTGAGTGCCTCTCAAAATTTCTAGAACCCACGTCACTTTGTGGCCTTGGCTTTCTTGTTTTTGCTTTCCTTCCCTATAATCCATATATATTTATACGCACACAAGAGTCTCCTGCAAGAATCCAGAACAATAATACTCCCTGTTCACCTTTCCCTTCTTTCTCTCTCCTATCCTCTCTCCCTTTCTCTCTCTCTGGAACACAAGTTATGGTATTTGTCATTCATTTCGCACAACTGGTTCTGCTTTGGACCCATGGATTCTGATCGTCCCAGAAATTCTACCTTGTTTCACTCTCGCTTCTTTCTCTTCGGTTTCTATTGCTGGGACTGGGAGTTTCTCACCGCTCTCCTCCTCTTTAGTTCTTTTTTTTAATTCCCCACCTCTTTCTTTTCTCCTTTTTTTTATTTATTATTATTATTATTATACCACCAGGTTCTACACCAAATAAAGGAGGCCTAGTTTTTTATTTTTTTATTAAAAAAATTGTGAGGTAGGTGAAGGGTAGATCGGGAAGAAATGTCGCAACGTTCGACACCAGCGCCGTTTTTGACGAAGACGTATCTGTTGGTGGATGACCCTGCCACCGATGACGTTATTTCGTGGAGCGAAACGGGTAACACTTTTGTCGTTTGGAAACACGCCGATTTCGCTAAGGATTTGCTTCCCAAATACTTCAAACACAACAATTTCTCCAGCTTCGTCCGCCAACTCAACACCTATGTAAGTCTATCTTCCTCTTCTTTCTCCTTTTAAACTCTTTCTCTGTCGTTTACTATCTACTATCTATCATCGTCAACACGAAACGAAAATTATTACCTAGTTTCGACCATAACATTTCTTAGAGTCTTAATTTAAGTCAATGGTGGAAACCAATTTTGGTGCATTTTATCATATTTGCGTAACAGATTCGGTGTGGAATAAATTAATAACGCATGATCTTTTTTTTGTAGTGTGATTTGATTAATTTGCTTCGTTATTTAAATGAATAAAAGCGTGGGATTGGAATCTTGTGTGGAAGTTTCAACCAGAGGATCATTTTGGCGTATATAGAATATAATAAAGTGTGTTGTAAACTATGGAGGATTGGTTGCTTTGAATTTGTCTCTTGATTGTTTAAGCATCATTGTTAGATTAGATCAGCGTTTTTGAAATATTTTTCCACACCGAATATTCTGTTTCGTGGAAGATTAGTACTACACATGCGGTAGCATTTGAAGAGGAGATTTATGTGTGGTAGAAGGCACGTGATGCTTAGTGGTTTAGATCTTCTGTTAGGTGGCCTAATTCCAAGAGTTTTTTTTTTTTTTTCATTTTCATTTTCTTTTTCCTCAATGGAAGGCCTTAGATTGTTTTTCGGTTGTTTTCAAACTTTCTAAAGAAAAATAAATATAAATTGTGGAAACATGAAAAGTGTAATTATGGGAAAGTTAAATAAATAAATCAGCTAATTGAATAGAAAAAAATAGACTATTTTTATAAGATAAAATAAAATAATAATGAGAAAATAAGTTACCAACAGTTATAGGATAATATCATTATTTATTAATAATGATTTGTGACTGAGCGTAAGATAGTCAAACTCTCGTTCTTATCATTTGAAAAAACACCTTATGTCTAATGCATGGGTATGATTATTATTGATAAATTGCTTGATATTATTTAATATATGAGGTTATTGTGGTAATAATAATTTCGTAGGTAAAATAAGAGTGGGCTAAAAGAAAAAGTATAATAATATTATAGAAAGTGGAGTTGGTTGCTAAAATCCATTCCTAATTCTAAGTTTTGCTGAATGAAAATCGTAGTATGCCACTTGCATTTGTTTAAATGCAAACTGAATAGTGGCGACAGTAGTTGCACAGCCACTGCACCCGATTGCGCTAGGCTGTGGTCTTATGGCGGATTCCGCGGATCATGTTTTATTTATTTTTTCCTTTTTTTTTTTCCTTGATTTGCATCAATTTTATTGCATGCTGGAATAAACAAGGTCGTGTATTTTTACCAAAATAATAGTTTTACTTATACTTATTTAAAGTTAAAAACAACATCATTACTTCGGTGGAATAACATTGAACAACTTTGGTTCTTTTTAAAACTTTTACTTTACTTTCTTTTTTTTTTAATTATTGAAAGGAAAAAAAAAAGTTTAAGTAAATAATAATGTCTAAGACTTCCCCAGCATATTCTTCAAATTACACATTTGTTTCCTATCATACTAGTCTAACTTTTTATAATTCAGATTTAACTCATGTAACATTAAACATGTAAAAAATATTTTTTTTCCTTGTCAATAGATTATTTTATTAAACCATGATTTGCAAGATTTAAATGTTTTAATTTATTTTTAATAATATGTAACGGATATATATTGTATATATAACACTATAGTTACATAAAGTTAAGTCTTGCATTATAATTCGATTTTTAATATATTAAGTATCTGTTGTTGCTGATGATACATCTGTGTGTTTGAACACTGAATTGCTTCAGGGGTTCCGAAAGATCGTCCCCGACAAATGGGAATTCGCCAACGAGTGTTTCAAGCGAGGACAAAAGGAGCTCCTCGCCGAGATCAAGCGTCGGAAGACGGTGCTGCAATCGCCGGCGGCCGGAAAATGTGGAGGCGGCCGAGGGAATATCTCGGCGTCTCACTCCGGTGGTGATGACATGGGGTCAACGTCGACAGGGTCAGTGGAGGGTGCAACGACGACGACCCACTGTGCGGATTTATCGGGCGAGAACGAGAAATTGAAGAAGGACAACGAGAAATTGAAGAAGGACAACGAGAAATTGAGCGGCGAGCTGGCGCGTGCGAGAAAGCAGTGCGACGAACTGGTGTCGTTTCTGAGGGAGTCGTTGAACGTGTGCCCCGATGTGATCAACCGTATCATTCGGCAAGGAACGTGTGGGTCCAGCGATGATGCGGTGCGTTTTGAGTCTATTCCTGATGATGACGATGAAAATGCGGTAGGTGAGTGTGAACCCAAAGTTGATGATGAGAGCGGTGGAGATACTTTGAAACTGTTTGGTGTTTGGTTGAAGGGTCAAAATGGGAATGAAAAAGACAAATTGAAGATTGGTAACTGCCGCAAGAGAGGGCGTGATGACCCTATCGCTGGTTCTGCCAAGGAACTGAAAACCCTTGTGTAGGACGCATGATAAGGTTCCTTTACTTACTATTTCAAGACATTATAGTGAGATCTAGAAACAAACCTCTCTCTATCTTGTAGTTGTATGGATTTTCATTTGTTTGATAGTTTTTTTTTTTAATATATAAAATGGTAGTTGTTCATTCATGGCATTTTATAGTTTGGTTATGGGTGGTGGAACAAAGGATACTAATGATGAATGATGATGATGATAATGTGTATAAACAAACATTAATTTGTATGATTAAACTTAAATGTGTCTTGTTTGTATTCAACCTATAATTAATGCATAATAGTATTAATTAAGGAATTTGACATTGATAGTCTCGGAATTAGGTTATTGCGGGGTACAGGCCAATGTTGGTTACTTTACTTTCGGTATAATTTTCGTTAGATTTACCATTTAATATAATATATTAATTTAATGGTTAATAATAAAGTATTGATTCCAATATTTGCGTGTATATACTTATATATTAATTTAATGGTTAATAATAAATTTAGGGTCTGATCATTAATATCGGTCTTATCATTAATATTGGTGAATGAGTATTCAAGAATGAAAATTACTTAATCTATCTACAATTAAAAATTATTACTATACACAATAAAAAACAAATCATTTTAATATATAATGATAGATAATTAGGGTCTAAATTATCAGAACTTAACCCAAAACAATTTAATTTAATAAAAGAAATATTTAGAATTAGACATAAAAAATTATTCTATTAAATCAATGCTAACTAAAATTTTTATATTTTTATCTAGAATAATAATTAAAATAAATTATTATTTTATATTATTAATTAAAAAATAATAAATTAATATTTTTCTTTATATATATAAAAGTGAAAAAAATTAGAACTTTACATGTGAACCCACAGTGCAACCCAAGGTCCTTTACGAAAAAAATTAATAATGTTTATTATGCATCTTTACGAAAAACACTATAATGATCTTGCGGGTATGCTAACACTAATAAGGTGATGGTGTTGTGGTCGTTAAAAAGTAGGAAAATAGCAGTCTTATAAATACAACTAAAACTTTTGGACGTGGTTATATTAACATTCGATTCTCCCATTTAAGTATTATAGTATTTGAAATTTTGTTATGTTTGATCGAGTTGTTTGGTCTGAGTGAAGGAAGGTTCGAGCTAAAAGAGCTATATTTGTGAAGTTGTATTTGTTATTCTTACTGTTGAAGGAAGGAAAACTACAACTAAAAAAAATTTTCATTACATTTTCAACAAGCTTAGAAGTCTAAATAAGTAAATTCATTCTTTGTTGATGCATTTGTTGATAATTGAATTATTGGTGTTTCGTTTATTTGCATTTTTTATCCATTTCTCTTCTCCAAGTCATCCTACAAAAACTATAAAGATTTTTTTTTTCTTTTTATTGAAAACAAACCATTAAGAAATGAAATAACATAAATGAGACTTTACTATTACAAGTTAATACATGAAACATTTTTCATTATATTTGACCCTTCAAATATGCAGGAAATAACAAACCCAGTTTAATAGTTTGCATGTCTCAAAGAATAGATATTATTTGTTTATTTATTATTATTTATTAGGCTTATTTTGATGTTTGTGTGAAAAAGTCATTGATTTTGTCTTGTAATTTGTGTCATATGAAGAAAAACATAATAATTAAATCTAACTCCTAGACCATGAATTGACTGAAGTTTGTCAAAATTATAGTTTAGCAGCAACTTGGTATTCGACCTAAACTTGGAAATGATGCAGTTTAGGTGGAGCTTCGTCTATGACTGAATCAATGGAAGGAAGGTGGATGCAGTGGGGGCATGGCATGTTGCATATTTATTAGTGAATGAAGAACAAGTCTTGCTTCCACATGCATGTTATCTTCTTGTTCTTTCCTTCAGTCCAAGAAAAATAGGTGAAGAACACAGTTTAAGAAATTCAGCTTACTCTGTCCATACGCAATCACGAAGCACAATGATTGTAGACTCTTTCCTCATTTCAAGTTTCTGATTCTAATAGATACCTTCTAGATATAAGGATTAAAAATACGAATCTTTTTTTTTTTTACGAAGTAATTATTATTACATTATTTATTTATTTAGAAATAGTTAATCGATTAAATATGATGAACATCATACTTATCTATCTCTGGTATAAAATTTTATCACATTTTAATTTTGTTATACTTCTTCATCAGAGGATTTTTCATCAAATGCCTTGTTTCGATGAGAATTTTTCGTCATAATTTTCATTCCACATTTATTATTTTCCTGATTAATTTATTTCAAGAACAAAATTTACTGCACCTCCATTTTCATTTTTTCTCCCCTCTTTTTTTATAGTTATTTCTAAATAAAGTAATGTTTTAAATTTCTTCATAAATATTTATAGGAAAAATAAATAAAAAATAAAATGAATTTCTTCTTTAAAAAAAAAACTTAATTTATAAGTTTTCAGTTTTTTTTACTCTAACATTATTCATAGAAAGGCCTATATAATTTGTTTTCACAAGCTCAAATTTTTTTATTTAAAAAAAAATATTCTTATTATTTGTTTTTATCAATAGATTGAATTTGGAATTCACCATTTCTTGTTTGTTTTATTAAACTAGATTGTGAATATGTGTGATTAATGTGAAATAAATTTTTACACCTATTAGTTTGTTATTTTGGATGTTAATATTTTTAGAAAAATAAATTTTATAATATAACATGACTTGTGGAGAAATTAATTGCGTTATTTAGATTAATAAAATAAGACTAATAAGATGAACCAATTTTTATTTATATAATTTGTAATTTTTTAAAATATTATTATTTATTTATCTTTACTATTAATTTTACTTATTTATTTTATCACTAATAATATTATTTTAATGTTATTATTTGTTTTTATTATCGTAATAGTATTATATAAATTGATAAAGAGCAATGGAGTCATTTTTCAAGAGACAACGACTCCTAAAACATTTATCTAATAAATTGGTGAGAAACAATAACACATGAACACCTCTTTTTTTCTTAAATATCTCAATACTATCTATCTATCTATCTCTCTCTCTCTCTCTCTCTCTCTCTCTCTCTCTCTATATATATATATATATATATATATATATATATATATATATATATATATATATATATATATATATATTTATCTCACTTTCTATTTAGGTATCATTTGAGTTTTTTTTTACTTGAAAGTTTCCAAAGTATTCTCAACTCCAAAATTTCATATCCATTATTTATTATCACCCATTAAACAATGGAATTGGGTGCAAAGCTTTTCATTACTTATTACTTATTTATACCAATACTGAAGCGTGGGTGGTTTAGGGTGGGAAACCTGAATCACATCCTTCATCCTAAGCCTTTTCAACCAGGGATTTTGTTGTGTTTGCACCATTCCCCTTCTGAATTCATGACAATGCTTTGTGTTGGAGTTTATTCTTCTTTGGTCGTCACACTAAATCCATTATTTAAAAAATATGTAAATTATATTATTTCTATATAAATAAATGTTATAAAAATGCTGTTTTAAAAATTAAGAATATTTATTTTAAATTTGAGCAAATTAAGCCATTGGCAAGCCTCTCACCCAGGACTTTACCTACTTGTATATATATATAACAAAATATATACAGAATAAACTTAAACGCATAATTTGGACTACGGTGATTTATGTTAACTAGGTCATTGTTGGACCGACGTGTTTTTAACAAAATACCCTCCTCTTTTTACATCTCCTTTTTAAAACTCATTTATTTCCACACCCTAGTAATCATGCACCCACCTTCTGGCTAATCTCCTCACCTCTCTGATTACACCTCCTTTTCGTTTCTCATTGTAGAAATCAAATTTATCTCAATGTTTGGACTAGACTTTATAGCATTTTCCAACCTTGATATGATTTGGGTTTGGATCACTGTTAACGTCTTCACACTACTCTTTGGGTATAATTGTTTGTCCTTTACAGTTTTACAGTCGTTGAGACATTGAAAGTGTTTCTTGTCCTGAGTTTCTTCTCATGCACCACTATTATGGGCCACTGGCCCCTTTTATTCCCCAAACATTGGACATTGACAAACATATCGCATGAATATAGAAACTCTGGCAAAGACTACAAGGGCGTAGATTCACAATTTCATGAACTTACATAAATTTGCCAGGCTCCCCCATTCAACAGATTTAACACTACTAACTAAAACCCAACCCATGTTAACTATTAATTGGTCTCGGTACTCTATAAAACCAAAACGAGTTCAAAGCACTCGGAAACCAAGTATTCAAGGAGAAAAGAAAAACTAACATTTCTCAAAACTGATACTTCCCACTTATTAATGGAAAGAATATGAGGACAACTAATGATTTGGATACACAAAGCCCAATAAATAATCTGCCTGGGTTGGTTTTTTATACTGATAAAATAAAACAAAGATCGTCCAAGCTTGGTTGATAGATACCCCCATTGCAAAACGAGAGTCCAAGCCACATTACCATGCTAAATATTAAGTAGTCTCCAATATTATCTCCTACCGCACCCGGTATGGAATTTGTAGTGCCCAGCAAAAATCTCAATCTAACAATCAACGTCCCAAGTAGAAGCAACTTAATCAAAAAAAATTATTTCTGCCAGACCAAAAATTAATAATAAAGCCTTCCTCAGTTTTTTCAAATCCAGCTGATATTTCTTGCTCCTCATGACACTGTTGATGTCCCACTAATAGTCTGTTTAGCCACATATATTTGCTTTACCTTTGTCGAGGAAAAGTTCTTGTCTGAACCAAGAGATTGATTTCTTCCTTGGTACCCTCTACGATGAGACCATTCACCCCCAGAATTATTTCTTTGAGAAACACCACCCCTCTGATAATTAGTATGTCCTGAGGAATGGTCAGATTGCTGGGCAGAAATATTAACCTGTTGTGAGGGTTGACTCTTGAAAGAACTTGCGTTCTGGTTACTATTACTGTTGCTACCACTGCCATTCTGAACATCAACCTTCACGGCGTCTGCAATGGGAATCACGGATGGAGTCTTGTTCACAAGACTCTGTGCAGCCTTGGTAGCAGTGGAGTTTGAAGTGTCCACCAATCCAAGTTCATCGGGCAATTGGTTAACATTCACATCAGCAGTTCTAGGAAAGCTCCTATCACCGTCTGAAGATGTTGAAGCTCGAGAACCCGTAAACCTTTTGGCATTTAACGGCTGGTCAACAGAAGGGCCATGGCTGAATTGGGAAGCCTGCACCCCTTCTTGTTGCTGCAATGGCATTGACAGAGGTAGTTGAGAATTAGGAACATGTGGCCATCGAGCTTGTACTGACATCTCAGTTGAGGGCTGGCAAAAATTTACAATATTTAATTACTGAGAAAAAAATTACCACACTAAACAGAAACATAAATTAAAACGACCATAATTTGGTGACATTTACTGTCTTTTCGTGCAAGGTTAAATTATAATATTCACAAATTCCAAAAAAGAACCATGACCCCAGATAGTGTACAACAAAAATAGAAAATTACGTCTGGTTATTGCAGAAACCAACCGCAAGACAAATCCAAACTTTACCTGGAAAGGAGAAACGTCAAACATAGCCACAGGTGAAGCCATTGGCATAAGTGGTGAACCAGGAGCAAGATGTTGAATTGGAGATGGCATGTTAGCAGGACTCCGCTGTGAAGATGCCATATTCATACTGTTAATATCCCCTTCACCAGCCGTCGTGGCAGAAGAAGTAGGAATGTGTTTCCAATCAGGCTGCTTTCCAGAAGGAATATAAGTAGTACCCATGAAACTCAAGCCAACTTGACCAAATTGTCCAACAGGAGCAAAATGGTTATAAACAACCATGTGTGGTGGCCCCTGGACTCCTGGAATGCCTCCAGGAGGAGCAATAAAAGGGCCAGTAAATCCAGTTGGAGGTCCATAAAAAGATTCCACCCCGGAATGGCACTGTTGCCAGCTCCCAATCGGCCTTGATGCTGACGTAGTACTATTCTGAGGCTGTGATTGTGTTGTAGATGCAGATTCATCATGTGGTCCAAAAGCAAAGACAGGACCACCCATCATCGGATTCATTTCATAGAAAGGAAAATGAGAGGGAGGGCCTGAAGTAAAATGAGGAGGGACAGAAGGAAAATGAGAAATCATTTGACCCGTAGAATTTCGTGTACTTGGTAAGGGAGGCCACAAGGAAATTGGTGGAGTCTCAACAGATAAGTCAGCTGGAAGAGATACACTAAGAGGCTCCTCCGATCTAGATTGACTAGCTGACTGCTGCTCACAACCCACTCCTGGCCAAGTAGCTAACAAAGATAAATAAAACGTTCCAGAATACAAATTAATGTCATGTCATATTATTAGCCGACGACCAGAAAAAGAAAAATAATACCAATGCCTAATAACGAAGGAGAAAATTCACCTGCTACTACCCTATCAATATCTGCTGCCGCAAAACTTTTACCATCTGGAGCAGAGACGGAACAATTACCCAATCCATTTCCGACAATCTCATCACTACTAATGGCAGCAACAGCAACAGCTGAAGCAGCAGCTTCAGCCTCAGCTTCTGCATCACAATCTTCTAAATGACGTTGAGATTCATTTACATGTTTCTCTTTATCAAAGAAAAGACTGCAATCATTGTCAGATCCAGTAAGATTGTGGGTCATTTTCATGTCCGATCTAGATGCTCGAGGTGGACCAATGCCATGAGACACAACACGACTGCTAGATGGAAGAACAGTTGGAGATGTTACTGCCCCTGAATACAAAATGAAAATCCTCCATAAGTAATGCAACTGAAAATCCAGAAATATAGCCTCAAACTGGAAGAAATTTCCTATCAAACTCACTAAAATAAATGAATGACTAAACAAATCACAATGCAAAATTTATTTTCTAACCAAACTGAATTTTCTCTCCAGCAAGCAAGGAATTAATCGGGCTGGCGGCGGATGAAAAGGTTTTCTCCTTCGTCAAAATGGAAGATGCTGGCAAACTGGGCTCATTAACAGCACCAGTTATATTGCCAACAGAAGCCTGTGAGTCAAACTGTTGAGGCTTCATAGCCTCATCAAGTTGTGTTTGTGTAAGTGCCATTACCTGTCATAAAAAAATTATTTTAGACTCACAACAAAAGGGTTGAACAAATAAAATATTTAAGTATATGCCTGAGTTCAAGTTCATTAAATTACACCATTTTAATCCCCAAACATCCCACCTCTGAAAAAACTCAGAACTACTAAGTTAGTCCTGGAGAAAACATAAACATTTCAGTCCCTCTAAGAAATGTAGATAGGCAAAATTTGATAATGGGGTAAATCATTAGTGGAACTAAACTGTATATTGAAAAAAAGCAGGTCCTAATTTTGAAGGAGATAAAGTGCAACTATGAAACAAAAGGAGACCACATACATGATATTAAACCATGTTCCTAGAATTCTTGAATCTAAATAATCAAACATTAAATCAATACTGCCAAAATACACGGAAAAATAATAAATGAAATAGTTTCAATTGTCATCATTCTCTTACAAAGCGAGGGACGAAATTTCAAACCTGTTGACTAATTTGTGCATTACTCCAAGAGCCCAAAGATGTCTGAACATTATCTAAAACCTTATTCTTGCTATCATATATCACACCAGATCCAGGGTCCTTTTCACCACCAGAAACTGCTGGGACACTTGTCTGAAGTGACCTGTTAAAAGGAAAAAATACATTTGATTTTTTTGTACTGTGTTACCCATCAAGAAATCTTACAAGACGGCAACTACCTGCTTATATGTGATCTTAAATCAGCCTGGGAATCAATTTTCAAAGGAGGTGTTCCTATTGGAGGTAATGCTTGGGACAATATGCTTGAACTAAATCCAGATGAGGCATCCATCTTGGTCATTCCACGCACTTCAGCAGCAACAAAAGCAGCATGGATACTGTTTACCACTTCAACTGGAGTAATGGATCCTTTGGCAGAATTGGCAACGGCCACAACATTTTGAGAACTGGAACGGGGTCTCCGTTGCACCTAGCATTAAATAAAAACATTGAAGAAAAATGCAATACATGACATAAGGTTATAAGTACAGATACAAGTTAAAACCTTTGCCACTCGCGACTTGGCCTTAATTTCTTTCTCCCTCTGTTCTCGCCGATCATTTAACATTTGCCTCTTTGACCTAACTTCTATGAAGTCATCTTCATCGCTAGGAGCTTCAATTCCAGGTTGCTCAAACACACGTATAACCCCACTTTGCAATGGAGCATCAACATCTTCCTCAGAACATAAGTTCCTTTTGAGATTTCCAGGATGTGAGAAATTCTGAGTCTTAGTTGATTCTTTTACGTCAACCTTTTCTGCTCTGCTTCCCGAATCCACCACTTGTGAGTTTTCTACAGCTGATTCTACAATCTGTTTTCCCAATTTATTATTCATAGCCTTCCTGGGACCACCAGGCCTTCCAGGTATGCCTGCCCCCCTTCCATTGATATTTGACTTGTTCTCCACCCCAAACTGATCAGTCAAAACAGAGCTAGTAGACTGCCTCTTATCACCACTTTCCCGAACTCGAAACTCAGTTCGCTGCATATTCCGCCCTGGCCTCCTCATAAATCCTCCAGATTCTGGGCGATTAACCTTTGTAGATGGGCCTGACGATCTAGAGTTTGAATTTTTCACAGTAAAGATATATCGCTTCCCCCTAGTACCAGATGCAGGAAATTGTGTTCTTGACTCGGTAAAATTCTCTTTTGAAACTGAATGTTGCGAAGAATCTCTAACGACTACCTGAACTTCTGATTCTTTAGTATTGAATGGAATATTGCTGCTCTTTCCAACTACATTTTGGTTCCCCTGCTTGTCCAATTGGAAACTAGAAGTCCTAGTGCTATTATTAGGATCACGGGTAGCCTCAATTCGACCCTGCTTTATTCCAGTAATATTTCCTGCATCCTCACTTGGCAATGAACCTTGTGGTATGTTTCTAGAATTACCTGGTTGGCTGTCTTCAGAATGATGCCTCATCTCATTTTTTATAAAGGAGTCAGAAGTTTCTGGACCAGTTTGAACTGGCATTTGACCTCCAGGGTTGTGATTATAAGAAAAACTGGATGGTATGTTAGGCTGAACAAATGACATCGATTGAGGACCAAGAGGCATTATACCTTGTGATATGGGAGCTGTATATCTTAGCTGGCCAAATTGAAATAAAGGAGGCTGTGATGGATGCATGTGAGAAAGGGGTGTGCCAACTTGTGGATGCAAATGCAGTGGCATCTGTATTGAACCAATCTGTATGGCTGGAACAGGTGATGGTATCAAAGATGGACCGGAAAACAGGCCAAATTGAAGCTTCGTGGGTCCTTCAGCTTGACTTTGAGCAGCAGCTACATTAGAGGCAACAGCTTGACCAGAAGACGAGTAGTAAGGGGCAATAGTAACCGAACTCGGTGTACTATGGTGTGTCAACAGGTCATTAGAAGCTTCCACATCACCTAAACCCTCAGACACCACAGGGGAAAGAGAATTACTAGGCTGGATGACCAAATCTTGAGATGGCTTCTCTGATTCCTGGAACACACTGGAAGTGCCGTTAAGATTCACCTGAGAGGTAGCATTAACTGGTTGGAGGGTCTTGTCATCTTCGTCATAAGATATGCGTTCTTCTAGAGTGAGGCCAGAAGCTTGTGTCATAAATGTAGTTTCTTCATCTTTCGATGTCCTTTCAAACTCTTCATTAGGCATCCCAACCTGGACACCCTCATCAAATCCTAATACCAGGTTATCCATCAGGTGAGGCAAACCTTTCTCCCGCAAATGCATATCTTCAAAATCCTGGTTGAGTTGAGTATGGTCATCTCCTTCGTGCACTTCATCTTCTTCCTGATAATCTTCATCTTCATATTCTTCTTGTTCCTGGAACTGCTCATTATTCTCAGTAGTCCATTCATCATCTTCACCACTAGAGACAGCACACGGAGTAACTACATTCTCATCTCCACCTACAGGAGGTGTTGTGATGGATTCATTATCTGGAGCTGTGAGGGGGCCATTTTTGTTTTCTTCAGAAGTCAATAACGTAGGGGAATCGCCAGAATCATCCAAGTCATCATGAGAGAGATGTGTTGGAGAACTTGGGGGACTTGAAACAGAGAGTGAGGACTGAGAATCACACCTAGGGGTGGTTTCCACTTTATGGTCCTCATTCTCAGTAGTCTCTGGCCGGGTATCCACTACTTCAGGTTGCCCTCGATTCCCATTATCATAACCAGTTGGCAGGGTAGAGTCAGTCCTGGTTACCTGATTATAATGCATCTCATTTTCTAGGAAAGCAGAAGGGCCAGGGTGTTCATTATCATTCTTGTAAGTTCTGTGAACAGAACCTAGTGAAGGAGGAGGAAGTACTCGAGGCTGCCTGACAGAATACCGTGACCTCCCCAAGGAATAGGGTCCATCTGATTCAGAATTTGGATAGGTACGCTCAGGAAATGGAGGAAATGGATTGACACGGGAACGGCCCTGCGTCCAACCATCACCAAATCTTTCGAAATAATTTTCGTGAAAATCAGAATCAATCTCTGTATTTCTGCTAAGATGATCTCCCTCTGCAGATTGATTCCACCTCTGCGGTTTTACATGAGCATATTCATCTAAATGAGGCTCGGAAATTCCTCCTTTAAAGTAAGTCCTAGAAGACACAAATCCAGCACCACCAGTATATTCTTTCCTCATAAATGATTTTCCACCGATTGATAGATCTCTGCGGGGACTGTTGTGACTATTCTCCTGGTCTTGTGGATAAAAGGCTGAGTTGTTCCAATTCTCATACGTATCTCTTCTCCATGAATTAACTGGTTTTCCTCTATCCACAAAGGTAGAAGGCAAATCTCTGGAGAAATGAGACCTAGAGCCCATCTCCAACGGCCTATTCACACTTGACGAATCAGAAGACGCAGAAGTCAATATCCTATCAACCATTCTTTCACTATCCTCCCAATCACCCACATCTGTAGCCCTAGATGCTTCTTTTTCGTTCACTATTGCAGGCATTTTCTCTTCCACAACAACTGGGGCATTACTGCCACTTTTGGCTGCCTCAGCCTGCCTCCTAGCAATCCTTTGCTCCAATTCTAAAAGTTTCTGTTTAGCAGCTTGTTTCCTCCTCTCTTCTTCTAAAAGGAACCTTTGTTTCTCCTCTTCCCTAGCTAACCTCTGCTCTTCAGCCTTCCGCAAAGCTTCAATCCTCTCTTGTTCTGCTCTCCATGCTGCCTCTCTCGCTTCTTCTTCCAATCTCCTCTGCCTCTCTTCCTGTTCTCTAGCCTGCCTTAATCTTTCCTCCTCTTCTCTTCGTGCCAACTCCAATGCCCTTTCTTGCTCCTCAATCATTCGCTGTCGCTCCTGTTCTTGCATCCTCTGAACCCTTTCAAGCTCAGCCTCAAAGGATTCTCTCACAGGATCATGAAAATCAGTTTGCTTAATCACATCCTTCTTCTTCTTGACCACCCCAACAAGACCACCTGAAAACAAATCCCTTCCATCAAAACCAGAACCTCCAAAATCTTTCATAAACGGATCTTCCAAAAAGGTTTTTTCGCTCTTCAACAAAGCCCGCTTCTCTCTACCAAAATTAAGCAGAGGATCATTAACTGGCAGACCCTTACCACCAGAGGAAAACGATCTTGACACCGAGCTCTGGACAGAATCAGCTCTGTTTCTATTGTGTTGATCACGAATCCGATCGCCATAAGGTTCCACCACATTATTCCAAGGTTGGGGTTTTCCACATTGGCTATCCCTCCTTCCAAAATCCCTTTTTCCAGCATCATCATCTCTAAATGGTGAAGGAACATACTTGTTACCATCCTTCCCCGTGTCCCGACTCCCACTTGCAGGCCTCACGCCAACACCATTTCTCTCATTTCCAGCATCCTTAGGAAATGACACATTCGAGCTCCTCCAGGAATTTCCTTCAGGCACCATTCTATCAAAAACCTCCACTTCACTTGTCAAAACCTTTCCAACTTCATTGCCCCTCAATTGTCCCCTCTTATCATGCTTATGAGGCAAAACACCAACCCTAGGCATATCAAAGTCCCAATAGGCGTCCCCCTTGGGAAAACCATGATCTCTGCCCTCCCTGATCAAACCATGGCCTGTGTCACGTTCATCATCTGCCCAATCCGACCGGGGGTTCAACCGAACAAGTGGCAGAGGACCAGGGAAATACCCCTCCTGCTTCCTCCCAGCACCATACTTGGTATTTAACATCCGAGAACCGCGTCCATCATCACCACCACTAACCACATTCACACTGCGAGAAACACTAGACTGATCAGCAACCAAAGAACCTTCCTTCTTCTCCTCAACAAACACATTCTCATCACCAAGAGAATGTTTCTGCTTCGGATTCAGATTCTGAATCTGTATCGAATTCGGATTCTCCTGGATCTTCTGATTTTGGCCGGGCCCAGGCGCCAAGGTGGCCCGCAGAGAAGGAAAATCCTCTCCTCTCAAAACAGCGGACGAAACCGGGGCAGAAGCCGCCACGGCCGGTTTGCCTTGAATGACAGGCCGCGACACATCCTCAGTGACGGGCTTGGTCCAACCCAAACCAGACGAACTGGGTCTCGACCCGCTTCCAGAACCACCCGGGCCGGCCGGGCCACCTCCGGATCCTAGCGAATCGAACCGCTCATGCTCCTTCCGCAAAGAAGGAAGGTTCAAGGGGGGTGGAACGGAAAGCTTGGGTCCGGCCTTGTGCGAACTGCGTGGCCGTGAGGGAGCCACAGAAGCTCCTGGGCGCGGCGTTCGCGTGGATCCGAGGGTGGTGGAATGCTGACCATAGGACTTGTTCAGATTCACTGAGACGTATTTGGTGCCAGAATTGGCCGCCATCGCGAACCAGGTGTGAATCGCCAAAGCATGAAAACCCTAACCCTGTGATTTCTTTTCCTTGCAGCGATTTGTTTTGATCTCGATTTGTTGATGATCAAATTAGAACCCTAACCCTAATCCGATGGTGATCGAAGAAAAGATTGCAGTAGTGATCAAAGGATGAGAAGGATTAGGATATGTCCTGAGTAATTTTATTTTTTTTTCGTGTTTTGCTTGTAATTAGGGCTCAAGCCGGGAGGGGAGGGGATAAGAGGGTAAGCTATAGGGGACGAAGATGTAACTTTACGCGGCGCTGGTTAGAAGTGTGGCCAATAGAGAAGCCCTACTCTATGCGGGAGAGAGAAAGAGAATGAAACATAAAAGGGAAGTTAACCTTAACAACGAGAGTTTTAGAGTTGGGAGAGTAAGCCAAACAAGAATGCTTTTCTTTGCTTTGTCTTTATGTCTCTTCCCCTGTGCTTGTATGTATTTATGTTTTTTGCCAAAACATATAATAACTCTTAGACCAAATACTATCTTTCGTCTTGTATTATTTATTGTTCAATAAGACATTTTTTTTACTATATACCTTAAATGTTTTATATTTTTCTTTTAGTTTGTCTTTTATTATTATTACCTTTATAATATTTTTCATTTTATTTCAATTATCATACAATTGCAAAATTTCATAATATTTTTTATATATTACACTATATATAATATATAAGTTTATATATATATATATATAATTTTATTTTATTGTAATATTGAAATTCAAGGATAGAGATACGATGAAATATTAAAGAATGGAGAGAAATTATAATATCCATCAAACTTTATCTTCTAATATTGTAATTAATATCAAATAAAAAATATCAATTATATATTTTATAAATTAAAATAATATATGTATTATACATATATATATATATATATATATATATCATATTTATCAAATTGTATTTACTATATTTATCTTATATTAAAATTAATACTAAATGAAGATATATAATTATTATTTATTTATATTTAGAAAAAAAACTTCTTAATTTATTATAACATGTCATTCCACTCCTTCACATGGTTTTCTAAAGTTGAATTGTATTTTTCTAAGATTTGTAGAGATTTTACAACCTTGTGCAAGAATTTGCAGAGATTTTACAACTTTGTGCAAAAAGGATTAATCTTAATGGGGTGAGTTGAAGATTAATAAAAGGGGAAAAATTCTATCACCTTATTACGAGAGAGAAAAAGAACAAGAGAGAGTTTACATAATAATAAAAAAAGAGTGATAGAGTTTAATAATGGGATGATAGGAAGACTTAAAAAAATTAAGAGACCAATAAAATCATAATTATTTTATTTCTAATTTTGTTTTTATTTTTTTAAATTCTCTTTTGAATATAATAGATGAAGAGTTTCAATATAATTCTAGTCATAAAAAAATTATATGTTAACTAATATTATTTCTCAACTTTGTGATTTAATTAATGTGCATCATGAGCATTTTACTAATATTTTTGGATATTGCTTTTGGACACTGTTGTTTTAGGTGGTGATGTCAAGTCCTTGAAATTTAAGATGAAAGTATATCATATGAATTTCAATAATCATGATAATTTTTTCTTCTATTGATTATAACGAGTGCATTAAACATATGGATAAATATAAAGTTTGTTTGTTTGAAGTTAAAAGATTATGAATGTTGCTTATTTGAATTTAATTACTTTAACAATGAAAGTTATTATTAGTCGTTTAAAACAAACACATTCTTAACAATATATTTATCCTTTTATGAGGTTGAAATCTTAATTGTAATATGTTTTTCTTGCATTTTTATTTTAAGTTTATTTCTCATTTTTTTTAAGTAATAAAATGTTAAATTCATGAACAAAATCTCTTATGCGAGAAGTATGATGAATGGATGAAAGATTTAATAATAGATTTAGATTATAATGGTAATTTTTGGATCTTTGTTTTTTATTTATTTCTTATGATGAAACTTATATTTGTTTCTTTAATTTTGTAATTAAAGACTTGTTAAATATTGGTTTCGAATAGAATTTATATGAGATATTGAGTTAATCAAATTAGAAATGAAACATAAACCTTTTTTAAAATATAAAGATAATTTAAATTTGAAGCATAGCTTCATGACATAAATTCTTTTTAAAAAGAGATATTAAGAAAGAAATTATAACAATTTTAACTTAAATTTATTAAATAAACCTAATTAGGAATGAACTATCAGTCTTAGGATCTTACTATACAATATTCTTCCTATACTCATTTTTTTTTATAATAAAATTTATAACTTAACTTTGTAAAAAAAAAATTCTCCAAAAGAACATATTATGAAAGAAAATAGAACAATTATAACTTAGATTTATTAAATGAGTCTAATTAAAAATGAACCATCATAATTTTTTTTCTTATAATAAAAATAATTCAGGTTTCAAGTTTAATTTTATGATAAAAATTATCTTTAAAATGACACATTATGAAAAAAATTAGAATAATTTTAACTTAAATTTATTAAGTCTATCACAACAATCACACTTGCCCTACCCTAAATACAAGAAGCACAATTACACTCCGCCTAAATATAAAAAAAACACAAGTCAAAACATTATAAACTTTCCCCCTCATATTTTAATCTAAAATACAACTTGTAGATAAATATAACAATCCCATTATCATTACATTACTTTAACTAAACACTTCATATCTTATTATAATATATTATAAAAATATTACAAAATGCAAAAGTTCGAGTAGTGAAGTTTTATCTCGCACTCGCCAAATTTTTTTATATATGTGCGAAGGGGGAAGAAATGACAATAGCAAGTGATTCTCCCTCCCATCTTTCTTCTTCTTTCATTTAAATTTCAAGCAAACCATACTTTACTTGTGCATGATCTAGTGAAACGAGAGAGAATTTGAATTAAGTGGAAAAACTTCGGTAGAAATACCACACCAGGTAAAGGAAAATTTAATTCATTCAATATATGAGACTGAATTGTTGGGTACTCTGTGAATAAGGAATAAAAATAGAAATCTGAATATTTGAACGAATTGAAAATCTGGATGTGTGTCATGGATTCCTAGAAAAGAATCATTTTACATCTTAGGGACATAAATGGAATTTTCGAAAAATGTCTAAGAGTAAAATAGTCATTTTCAGGACTTGGAAGGAATTTTCGAAAATGTCCAAGGGTAAAATAGTCATTTTTGGGACATGGAAGGAATTTTCAAAAATGTCTAAGGGTAAAATAGTCATTTAGGGACATACATGGAATTTTAAGAAAATATTAAAGGCAAAATAGTAATTTAATGATTTCGGGATGAAAAAGGAATAATAAAAAATGTTTAAAGGTATAATTAGAATTTTAGAAATAAAGTAAAGGTATGGTTGGGTCAGACTGAGTCCGAGGGTTGATGCCTAGAATCAGTTGTAAGATGATATTTATTGGCTAGACTGAGCTGGAGGGTTGGTACCCAGAATCAGTCAAGTACTATTATTTATTGATCCGAATAAGTCGTAAGGGCAGGTGATTCAGAATCCGGCAGATGTGAATGATTGTTGTTGTGTTTGAATGATACCCGGGGTGATACAAAGTATATTAGTGTATTAACTATGTCAGAGGATTCAGATGAGGTCTCAGACTTCACTGATTGGTCGGGTCAGGTAGACTATAAGATTAGGTGGTGAGAAGTCGATGGGGGATGACTGGTGGCGCGCTCGAAGGGGTACTCCAGAATGAGTGATGAAGGTGTTAAGTGGTAAAAAGTTTATATAATTATACCTTAAATTGTTATGAAACCACTTAACTATTGTTAATTCTAATCTATTTTTCTCCCAATATAGGATGAATTCAAGAATACCTTGATACAAGAGTAAGGAGCATGATTGATAGCAGAATTGGAGTAAAACTGGACAAAAGGAAGAAGATTTTCAGCATGAAAGTCGCTCGAGCGGGACGGATTCTCGCTTAAGCGAATGTTAGTTATTCTTCTCTGGAATTCACTCGCTCAAGCGAATATCAGTTATTCTTCTCTGGAAGTCAGTCGCTTAAGCGCAGGAAAATTCGCTTGAACGAATGTTAGTTATTCTTCTCTGGAGTTTATTCGCTCAAGCGAGCGTTTTGTCACTTGAGCAAAAACAAGTTACTTTCGCTTGAGCGAAAGTTCTCGCTCGAGCAAAAGACGCGAAACCCAAAAGCCCAAATTTTTTCAATTTAAAGAGAAGATGCGTTTTGAGAAAAGAAGCAGTCTTGGAGAGGAGGAGATACGACTATTGTTAGGGTTTTGTCCAATCTTCATCAATTCTTCACTTATTCATCAATTGGAGCATTATAATGGCCAACATGAGTGACTAACTTCGTTCTCTTAGGATTCGGTGCACTTCCTTTAAACTCTTTTGTATCATGGTGATATTTTGAGATATTAATCTATGCTTTGATGTTGTTATTCTTATCCTTTATGCTTTGGAATGATTTATTCTTGATATTTGGGGTATGATTGAAAAATATATCTTGAACCCTAGATCACGATAAAAATATTTGTTACGTTAATTGTCAGGAATGGAATGAATGTATCAATTGCTTAACACCCTAATCTCTTAATTGTGTGATGAATAAACATTTATTAGGTTTTCTTATGAATTTCATGTATGAGGAATCAACATGGATAATTTGAGTAGGTGACATTTACATTGTTAGATTAATTGACGTTCTTAATTGAAATAACCATTATAAAAGAGGGATAAGGAAGGAAGTCAATCATAAGTACCTTTAATTGATATTTTCTCAACAATTTACAGTTCTTTGTCATTTAATTTCAATTCAACTCTTATTTGCAAAAACCCAATCTGTTTAATCTACTTATTAATTACCCCTATTTTTCCATGTAGATGAGACTGCGATGATCACTTTTACGTGGAAGTAGATAAGGAGTTAAGATGTGGAGATGCGACTACTGGACAACAGGAATAATTTAATGGGGTAACTTTGTGGGAGTTACTTTTGCATGTATTTATATAAATAAATTATGTTACT